TGCACCATGTGAAAGGGTTCTGAGGAAGCCAGAGGCAGAAGCACCCACTGGGTCTGAGAGGGAGGATGGACAGATGAGTCAGAGGTGCCTTAACACCACACTCAATGTCCATGCTTTTTTTTAATTTTTTTAATAATGAAAGTAAAGTATATTTACCTCTGAATGTAGCTCTAACTCCAGTCCATAAATTTTGGATACTTACTGCTGTTTGAGTTTCTTTAGTGACTACTAAGATTGTACATTTTTTATGTTTCATCACTATTGGCCATTTGTATTTCTTTTATGAAATTTCATTCTTACATATTTCCCCTCCCATTACTACTTAGCTGTTCATCATTTTGTTAATGATTTTTCTGCTGCATACTTTGAAATGAATCATTTTTATTTTCTTCTGTTGTTTTATGAAGAGAAGGTTTACAATTTTTTTGTGTAGTCAGATGAGACATTTTTGCTTTGTGTTTTCCTCTCTGATATCATGATTAGATAGTTCTTCTATCCAAGACTATATAAATTACTGCCTCTAAGTTGTTCAGATTTTTAATTTAATACATATAAGTAAAAGAATCTGTTTTTATTTTTCTGCTAAATGCTTAACCATTTAACAGAGTTATTAATGGAATGGTTCATTATTTTCTTGTAATTTTGATCATCTATTTTTTAAATTTTATCTTTATTGTATTTTTTTTCCATTTCCATTTAGTCCCCTTACACCTCACCCCCCCCCAACTGTGGTGGTTGCTGGGGTTAATCTATTTTTATCATGCATGTATGATGTATATGTGTGTGTATATATTGGGTATTTTGGGTGGTTTTTACATTGTTCTACTTATTCCTATGTCAGTAACACTCTACTGCAATTACGTTAGTTTTCTAAGACTTTTTAATGTAAGATGAACAAGTCCATTCTCATAATGTTATTTAATTATTTTTCTGACTCTTCTGGGATGTGTATTCTTTCAAAAGACCTCGTGATGAGGTCTTCCCAGCCCCACTCTTTTTTGGAACTCAGTCTTTGGAGAATTCACATCCTCATCCTCTTCCTATCCTCTCAGGTCCTCTGTAGCCATGGTCAGTGTGCTGGGCTTCCCTAAATTCACACTGGTTTTACACACCCCTTCCTGCCCTGATCCAGCTTGCTGGTCACAGAAAAGTATTTGCTTGGCCTGAAATTGTCACCTGACTTTTTGGCCCTAGCATGGCCCCAGCTATTCAGGGATTTAATGTAAGTGCAGGAAGGCTGGCAGTGGGGCCACACTGCTATTTCCTCAGACCACAGAGCCTAGAAACATCTTAAAAACTCTTTATTCATCCCTATAGTCAGGAATTTCCTTCACTCAACTCTTTCATTTATTCACTCTGTCTACTTACTAAACAAATACAAAAAGTGCTGTTTTGTTCATGCAGGGAGGGCCCTTGTGAGTGCCTTTGTGGCTCAAAGTTGTTTGAGTCAGGTGGTCTGAGAGAGACTGCATTGCTTAAGTAAATGGAAGTCAAATAGGTTCATATTCTAAAATTATCCAGTAAAGATGGAGCTACCTATGCTGAAGTAACAACCCCCAAATCTCACTCCAGGCCCAGGTAGATCCATCCAAGTGATCTTCAAAGACAGTTGTTCTCCGTGCATTGGCTCAGGTGTCCAGGATGCTGGGTTACACAATAACATCATCACCACTGATGCTTCTGCTCTTACCACAGCCGTGGAAAAGTGGACCCTTCAGAACTGTGTACTGGCCAGTTTTGTTTCCACCCAGAGGCAACACTGGTCACACACCTGCCTTTATAGGGTCTCTCTTATTGAAATTGAGGGGAAAAAAACAGTAAAATCTACCACAGGATACCTGCTATTAGCCATATAGAGTCTTAACAGTTACAATTTGATTGAACAATAATGAGTGTCTTGGCCCCTGAGCAGCTTGGTGATTGCACCAAGAGATGGCTCTCTTCTCTTTTCCTGGCCACAAGATTTGACAATCATCCACTCATTTCAAATCTACTTGTTGAGCATCTCAACTGTGCACAGGAACACAAGTCTACAGCTTATCCCCAATGTTAGGCATGTGTAGGGCTGTAGCATCTATGAGGGTATGACCAGTAGCCTGGATAAGTATTTGACTTATTTAACTTAATATTTTGTCCCCCCAATGGATACCTGGTTTCTTGGCTCTAGTATAGAAATCACAAGTAACTTAAAAACACAAAGCACACCATTAAATTTGAATTAAGGATACCTGGAAGACAAGAGTGATTGAGAATGCCTTAAACTTAAGCAACTCAGATGTCAGTGTTTTACATTAAGGGAATTCAAAACAAAGGTAAGATCCTAAGAAAGCAAGCTTTACAGTGCCCTCCATGTCACTTCATTGTGGGATGTGAGCTAGTTTGTGGCAGGAGTATTGAGAACAGGAAGTGATCTGAGAATATTCTATTAACTGAACAGCAGCTTCCCTATGAAACTGCTGTGGTTGTTACCTTCCAGACATAGAAAGACCCCAGTCTGCTCCCATGATGCCACCTGGCATTGTAAGGGGTAACAACAACTTTTGAGTTGTAAGTCCTGCCTTCACTTGGCACCTAGGCTACTAAATAGAGACCATGGCTACTTATGGTTGGGGTGGGTCCAGTAGTGTTTAAGATCTGTGTTAACCTCAGCCCATAAATGTGAGTGCAGGAGAAGTTTCTGTGCTCAGGATGGGTTAAGACCTGAATTTTCTGAAATACTTGCCTTAGTTCTCTGCTTCAGAGGGGCTGTGTCTATAGACTCCAAGTCACCATTCTTTCTTGTTTGTGTACTAGAGAACAAACCAGATCCCATGTTGGGTGGATCTGAAGCCTCTTTCTAGAACTTGGGATCTCAATACTACTGGCTTTCAACACCACAAGAGATTTTTTTTCTTCCTCCTGAGTCACATATTTATGCCATTTTTTTCCCTACACTGTTGTCAAGAAATGTTTGGCTTAAGTTCTGGGGTGAGTAGTTGTCATTTTTAGAGGGTCTACACAGACCAGCAGGACCTAGCATGCATTTTAGTAGCCATATTGTTGTCTGGTCAACCCCAGGTTTTGTTTATCAGACCAGAGATATGCATCTGAGATAGGGAAATTCATTTCCACAGGAATTTTGATTTGATATCAAGCAACCGTTCTGACCTTTGTGTGACACAAGATTCCCTATGATTGCACAGTCAAGAGAGCAAAAACAGAAGGAGGTGTGAAAAGGCAGAAAAGAGGTGAGGGTGTCAGGAGAGACACAGACACGGAGAGACACACAGCATTGCTTGTGCAACCCAGTCCTTGAGCCACTTCAGAACTCTTCATTCTCAGGAAGAATGCTTCCTCTTTGCTTAAACCATATCCAGTTGCTCTTTTAATTTTATTTGCAATGAAAAAGGGGCCTTTCTAAGCTCCCCAGCTCATTGGGTCTGGTTGTGGCCCCTGTACTGAAGATTATTTGCTCACTATTGCATAACTGACATATTTCAGAAACTGCCAGGAACTGGGGATTGTTTTCAGTAACAGCAAACATTCTTAGCAGAGAGCATGTGCTGTGTGCTATTAGAAGGTAAGGCTTTTTGTTTTCACACATGCTGTCCTACATAAGCAATGTAATTACAGAAGTGTTGGGAAGTGGGCTGGGGATTAGGGGTCCCATCATAAAGGGCCAAAAAGAACAGTTTTCCCAGTTTTGGGAGCAAAGGAGAGTGGCTGTTTTCCTGTCTAGGGAAGGGGTATTTGTTGCTCCCTCCTAAGAGCCTATAGTTCATGCTGGTGTCGTTCCAATTCCTTAAACACAAGTGCCATTTAATTCAACTAATATACATGGATATTTGGCATAAAAATTTACAAGTCAAAAGTATAAGGTTTGGAGTCAGAAGACCTTACACACAGCCAGGCTGCAGCACTGATACAACCTGTGGCCCTGTGCAAGTCTCCTCCCCTCTCTATGTCTTGGTTTCCATATCTGTACAATGAGGAAGGCGATCTGCCTAGGTTGTTTCTGAGGCAAAGTAGGGAAAAGAACCTCCTGAAACTGTCAGTCTCGAGGAGGACTGTGAGCATGGCTGGATGCCCTCTGTGCCTGAGATTTCAAATGGCATTAGGATTATCCAAGTGGTATTCCTTTCCATGATCCAGGAGGCATATTGACACAGATAGAAATAGGTCCTGAGTAGCAAGATGAGGAGGAGGCTATGTGATGGAAGGCCTTGCAGTCTGTCCAGGGAGCAGATGACTTTCCATATCTACCGATTGTGCTGTACAGCTTCCATGGCTCAGGCCTTGAAGCAAGATGGAGCCACTAGAACCTCCCAGCCCTTGGGCTTCAGCTTGCATTGGCTAGAGCTGGGGCTCTCAGGGAGAGGTTCAGAGCAGGGATACACATCTGGATGCCATCAATGGAAGGAACCTGAGCCATAGACAGAATGAGCTCATTTCTGGGGTGAAGGTAAGGAGAAAAGAGAAGGGAGGTTTAAGGCTTCAGCATGTCACCATTAAGTGGTCAAGAAAAAAAGCCAGACTGACTGGTGTGGCTCGGTGGATTGAATGCCTGTGTGCAAACTGAAGGGTCCACAATTCAATTCCCTGTCAGTTCACATACCTGGGTTTCAGGCTGGGTCCCGAGAGGGTGCTGCACTAGATGCAACTACACATTGATGTTTCTCTCCCTCTCTTTCTCTCTCTTACCTTCTATAAATAGATAGATAGATAGATAGATAGATAGATAGATAGATAGATAGATAAATGAAGAGGAGCAGGGGCTAGCAAAAGAGGATGACAAGAACAGCCATAAAGATAAAAGCAAGAATAGTAGACAAGAGAAGGAAGAATAACAGAGAAGTTGAGTAGCTGGGGCACTTCTGTGTCTGACAGTTTGAGAACACAGAGGGCAGAAGAAGAACCATTGGATTTTGTGACAGGGCAGTCTTTGACACCCAATTTTATCCGTTGGGACTGGGAATGCAGGCTGTCCCTTCCTCCAATGACAGGTCAGCCAGTGTGTGATGCCAGATTCATATTTTATTCTGAGAGAGGTGTTCCACAGGAGCCCTACCTCTGGCCTCATCCCATGGCTCTGTGGAGAAGTAGTGGCCAGCAGAGGTGTCATCTTCTTGATGGGATGTTGGCAGCTCACAGGTCTGGGCCCTGACTTGCTGGCCAGGCTTCTGGGCCACGAGTACCCCATCCACCTTGGGTGGCTCAGAACTCACAGATCACAAGGCGCTTCTCTCCACAGGACTTATCGTTCCACTTTCCATTGTCGAATATTTCCACACAGTCCTCTTCCCCACCACTGTTGTTGGGCTCCCCCGGGGCCCAGTTGGAATACACCGGGGACTCCCCTGTGGGGTAAGTGAACTTGCCCTCTGTCTGGGAGTCAGTCATGCTCAGGAACGCAGCCTTGTTCTGAGCTGCGACCAGCTGTTGCAAGGCCTCATTCTCAGCTGCAGAGTGTGGGGAGGGCAACTGCCCCCCAGCCTGTCTGCATACTTGCTGTGCATCCTGAAAAGATTTTTCAAAGCCTCCTGTCTTGAATATCTTCTCTCCAACAACTCGGCCATCAGGAAACAGACCCACTAACAGAAGAGGACAATTGGCTTTAGGTTCTGACAACACCCAGCCAAAGCTCAGGGGACCCTTGTGCTCCAACCAGAGGTCCAGGCCTCCCACACAGGGTATCAGGGCACCAGATAGGACAAAAGTGAAACACTTGGTACCAGAGTAGCCCCAACTTTACAAGGCTTTCTATTAAGGTGACTCTGGGGTCTCTAGTTACAGGTGTGAACCCAGGGTTCAAAGGTTAAGTAAGAGGCTCCTTGTCATGTAACCATCGAATGTAGTTAGGAATTAAAACTTAGTTGATCTGACACTAAAGCTAACACATGCTCTTTCTATTTTACCCAACGTTGCATGTCAGAATTGGTTTTCTAATTACTGGTTAGAGCTGGAACAACTTTAGCCATTGGAATGGCACCCTGCAGCCTGGGCCAGTCTCTGAGACCATGGATAACAATGCAGGTGCTCCCTCTGATCTCACTTGGAACCCACGTAACAGTAGGGCACATGTCATTGTCAGAAGGTCTGCGCTGTGTGTGGGGTGTGGGAAAGGAGAACAATGGGTGGGCCATCTCAGAGCAGTGATGTGCTAATCTCTGCACTATGTGCAGCCCAGTGCTGGCCTTATGGTGTACATGTGGGTGAAGCCAGAGTGCTGGGTGAGGTGTTGAAGGCATCTGATCTGTGTAAGAGGGAGTGGGGGACAGAGAGAGAATCAGTGCTGCAGAGCCCTGTCTGGGAATCAGAAAGCCAGGTTGTTTCACCCCACCTTGACAATGACTGTCCAGGCGGACAAGGGAAAGTCAATTCCTTTTACAGGGCTTCCAATTTCTCATCTCTAAATGGAAAATATATTTTATAAAAGCATCTCCTATGTGATATTCAATTATCTGTTTTTATTCCATCCCTTTGACTACTGAATTCATGCATAAAAATCTCCAGGGCTCCTGAGAGGGCTGTACCCCAACCTCATGGGGCTGGTCAGGAGCCCAGGCTGCACCCCAACCCACTGCCCTTGACCTGTGAGTACCTTCCACAAGGGCTCAGGGTGCACATTATCCACAGGTTCAAGATGGTACCCAGAAAAGCCCTGCACAAGATCAGCAGAAGAGGTCACAGACCATTATATGCACTGGGAGGGTATGCTTGTGTATACATGAATATGGCCATGTTCTATCTGAAAGTACTTGAGAGGTCCATCTGAATTTGTGTGAATATTTGTGTGTGCCTGCATAAGTGTGTGTGCTCATGTGTGCAGACCATGTGAAGTGAGTGCCAGTATGTAAGTAATACATGTGTGGCAGGTGCATGTCACAAATTTGCCTTTGTTTGCATAAATGCATATGAGTGAGTGAGTACATGTGCAAATCCTTGATACATAGGTACTTAGTGGGCTTAGGTGCTCTAGAGCCAACCCTGTGCCTCACCCTTTATGCTTTCCTCCATCAGGAACTCTTCTTTTTTTGGATCAGTGAGATGTGCTGAATGATTTGAATTCAAAGGTGACATCAGGGAGAGCAGGGGTCGGGGGGAGCAAAATAGGGAGAGAGGAGGAGATCCCCACAGGCAGAGGGCACTTGGGTGTGTGCTCCTGGAGGCCTCAGACTCCTCAGCATTCCAGGCTTTGGGAGGAATGTCTGCTTTGAACACCCAGAGCCAGAGACCACCAGTTCCCTACCACACCCAGGGCATGCCTCAGGTGAGATTCTCAGTGGCCACATGTGAACATCTGGCTCTCACCAGTCTTGACCCAAGGACAGCATCCCAGCCCCAACTCTCAGAGCAGAGTCTGCAGTCTCTGCTGCTGTGGGCTGGGCAGCAACATCTTGGGGTGTTCCTACATCTAGCCCCACAGAGCTAAGGAATGTATCCTGGGTAGTTGGGTGTCCCCATATATAACAGAGACCCACACAGGGTCAGCAAGAGTGAAGGTCTGCTGGACTGCCCTGGGCTAGGCTTGGGCCACGGTTGACTGTGATGTTGGGGGCATTCTGGAGCCGCATAGCCTTGACCACGCTTCTGCCAGCCCACTGAACTCATGATAAGGGACACATCCAGCTACTTGCCCCTTGCATCTACTTCCAGTTCCAAGAACAGGTGGCTGCACTGCTCTGTTCCACCCTTATCCTTAGCCTTAGCCCCACTCCCTGCCCCAGTCCCAGGTCTAGCCAGTCACCCCATCCCACTACAGTCCCAGACCCATGCCTGCCTCAGACCCAGCCAACTCCAAAACAAAACACAGACCCAGTCTGGGGCCTATCCCCAGTGTCTGGCTCAAGTTCAGGTCCAGGTCCAGGAACTCACCTTTCCTGTACAGAGAGAAGGCACCCTGAAGACGCTGTACCTGTCCCTGTAGGGCTTCCACCTGCCTCCTCAGAGCAGTGATGTCTGCAGAGAGAGGAGTAGACTGAAGACTAGTCCAGCACAGCCAGGGATTGGCTCAGAGTCTGGGCCTCAAGGGAAGGGTGCCCAGTTGCTGGCATTATTGGGGGTAGAGTAAGGAGCTGGGACTGGCCCCCCAAAGCCCACATCTGCTGACACAACAGGCCCTGCTGCCCACAACATTTCCTGTGCTGCTGTTGTGAACAAACTGTCCCCCTGAGCAGGTCCTTGCACCCCACTGACACTGATCCAGATGACACTGTCACTTCACATTCTGAGAATCTGACAGCACTTCCTTTGGGAGGTGGGGTAGGGGGACAGGATTGCACACTCCTCAAGTACTTCCCATCCCTGGATTATTTGATGCTCAAAGTTATCCAGTGAATGGAATGGGAGTTGTGCTTGTCCAAATGACCAGATGGGAAAAACTGCTCAGGCCTACCCTGCACCAAGTAACAGAGTCTAAAACCAGAGCCCAATCTTCCTGCCTTCCAGCCTGTCAGCCTTGTCTGCTTTTCATGCACGCCTGAAACACACTGACCACTGAGTGGAGGGGCTATCCTGAGCTGAAGAGAGCCCTCCTCCCTCCCCCACTAGTCGGGGGTTCCCAAAGCTAAGGGAGGCTACCTTACCTGGAAGCCCGCTTTCTCCTTTTGCTCCTCTGTCTCCAGGAGCACCTCTGTCCCCCTTCAGTCCTGGGGGACCCCTGGCACCTGGAGGTCCCTGTGGGCCCATGGCTCCTGCAGGCCCTGAGATCAGAGAAGAGTTGGGTGAGCTCTGTGCACATTTCCCAGCATTTTCACCCTCACACAGTCTGTTCCAAACACAGCCACATTCCCTGTCTGTACATGGACCATCTCCATCACCCAGCAACCAACCTTCCCTGTATACAGACTCCCTGTGGCTCACACCACATCCCCACCCCCAGGGACAGAGAGTTCCTCATGGCCAGTGATGGACCCTCCTGGCAGGCCGACTTTCCCTACTGCCCAATAATGCCAGCCCTGACCTGCTTGAGGGTAATAGTAAAGGGACGAGCATTGACAGCTTCCAGTGGACATGGGATTTTGAAGGCCTGCCCAAGCTTTTTTCATCACTCACCTGCATCCCCAGCATTTCCAGGGGTTCCACGCTCACCAAGGGCACCTTTCTCTCCTTTAAGACCTGGGGGACCTCTTGTGCCTGCAGAACCCTGCATGCCTGGGGCACCCACTTCTCCTGAGAAAGAAACAAATATGTACAAAATCTGCTGAGAGTGTGTGCAGCATGCATTATTGCCTCAGCTGTGAAGCTCTCACCCAGAGCTCTGTGGTGAGAGAGAGAACTGGGGAGACTGTGCTCCTTATTGCCTGGGTTCCTCTGTAGAAGCTAACAGGAAAGTATTATTAATATGGAGGAAGGGGTCACAGTAAGGCTGACCCAGTACTGATTATCTGGGCTTTTCCTGGCACTCTGAGAATATCTTGGTTACATCATGGTCTGCCACTGACATTCTTCCCTTCGCCTTTCCAGACTGGTCATGTACCAACCACCTACCTTTGGACCCAGCCTCTCCTTTGGGGCCTGGTTTGCCTTGAGGTCCTATGTTCCCCTGCATTCCTGAGGGACTCTCTCTTCCAGGTGAGCCAGGCAAACCTGGAGATCCTGGAGGTCCTGGAGGTCCTGGGAGTCCTGGGGAAAAGGACCCGCCTAGTCAGTGCACTAATCCTTCTTGGAAGGGGGAGTGCATGAAAAGATAAGAGCAATAATGAAGGCAGAGAAGCAGCACCATCTTACAGATGAAGTCCAATAGTAGTTGCAGCCTTTCCTGTAATAATCCAGGGCCACCTTCAGAACAAACTTCTTCCTGGGATGGAATATGTGCATGCCTACCAACATAACCTAGTTGCAGCAGCACCACTTGCAGACATTGCATTCTATACCCAGCAGCTCACCAGGTGGCCCAGAGTCTCCTTTTGGTCCAGGTTCTCCAGCAGCGCCATTGTCCCCTTTGAGCCCCACTGGGCCAACTGGCCCAGGCATCCCTGTTCGTCCTACAGTTCCAGGTAAACCTGTAGCAACAGAAGAAATGGGCATACACCAGACCCTAGGCCTAGGAGGAGCCAGCTCCTGCAGGGTCAGTTCCCTGGCATTCCTTCAGGGTTCTACAGGGTGCAGACATTCCACCTCCACACTCCTTGGTCCAGTGGTGCTCCAGGATATGGGTGTCCACATTCCCATTTTAGGTGAGGAAACTGGCTTGCAGGAGTTGGAGGTGTATTCAAGCTAAGGCCCGTCTGCCTTTCTGTGTATTGCGCCCTCTCCTACCCCAAGGCTGCAGTATTTACAGCAGACAATCTGTCAGCGTTTATCCTTGATCATGGACTCCTTGTCTTCCCCTTTCTAGAACCACACTCTATATCAGGACTGACACCTGATATTAGTCATCATGGAAATGCAAATCCACTCATTTACTGTTAGCGCTGCTATGAACATAGGGGTACTTAAGTTCTTTCGAATAGGTGATTCAGGATCCTGAGGGTATAATCCCAGCATTGAAATTGCTGGGTCAAAAGGCAGTTCCATTTTTAGTTTTTTGAGGAAATTCCATACTGTTTTCCACAGTGGCTGCATCAGTCTGCATTCCCACCAACAGTGCACTAGAGTTCCCTTTCCTCCACATCCGCATCAGAGCTTGTTGTTTGTTGATTTATTAATGATGGCCATTCTGACAGGTATGAGGTGACATCTCATTGTGATTTTAATTTACATCTCTGTGATAGCTAGTCAGTGGAAGACAAACACAATATGATCTCACCTATAAGAGGAATCTAATGAATAAAATAAACTAACAAGCAAAATAGAACCAGAGGCATGGAAGCATGGAACAGACTGACAATGACCAGAGGGTGGGGGGAAATGGTGGAAAGAGAAGGAAGGGACTAGTCAAAGAACATGTATGAATGACCTATAGACATGGACAATGGTGTGGGGATTGACTGTGGGAGCAAGGGGTGAACTGGGCAGAGGAGGGCAAAGGGGGAAAATTGGGACACCTATAATATAATAGAAAAAAAGTTTTTTGAAAATGTTCTCACCAAAAAAAGGAAGAGTTAATATGTGAAGTGATGGATGTGTTAATTAACTCGAGTGAGAATCCTTTCATAATGTATTCATATGTAAAATCATCAGATTGTACACTTTGAACTTTTGACAATTTTATTTGACAATTATACTTAAATTTAAATTTTAAATTAAATAAAATCATAACCTCCTCCCAAAGTATAAATAAAATAAAATAGACAGACAGTAACAAGTGTTGGTGAGGACATAGAGAAATACAAATATTTACACACTGTAGGTGGAATTGTAAAATAGTACAGACACTATGAAGTCCAGTATGCAGTTTCCTCAAAATATTAAAGATAGAAACTTTGGAACTTATTCAAAAGAAATTAAACTCTCATTTGAAAAAATATCTATACCTTCACATTCATTGAAGCATTACTTATGGTAGCCAAGTAATGGAAACAGGGTAGGTGGCCACAATGGGTAAATAGATAAAGATGATGTGATACACACACACATACACAATGGAATATTATTCAGCCATAAAAAGAAAAAATCCTGCCAATTGTAACAACATGAATGGAGCTTGAGGGATAATGGCAACTGACATAAGTCAAGCAAGGAAAGACAAATACAGTATGATCTTGCTTATATGTGGCTCCTAAAAGTCAAAACAACAAAACCTGAACTCATAAATGCAGAAATAAGATTACTGGTTGTTGCAAGAGGCAGGAGATGGGTGGCAGGCAAAACAGGTGAAAGTGATGAAAAGGTGCAAACATCCAGTTTTAAAATAAATTAATCCTTAGGCAGGTAATTTACAGAGTGGTGACTATATTTCATCATACTGTATTGTATATTAAAAAGTTGCCAAGAGAATACATCTTAAAAACTCTCATCACAAGGAACAATGTATGTAGTAATGGATGATCATTTCACAATATATACTTACAAATATCGAGTCATTATTTTGCATACCCAAAACAAATACCATGGTATATGTCAATCACATATCAATTTATTTATTTTTATGATACATTATTTATTTTGTACCATATTTTAAACTGTACTTTTACAATTACAGTTGATCTTCAATGTTATTTTGTATTAGTTCCAGGTATACAGCCTAGTAGTTAGACAAAAATATACTTTACAATAGGGGTGCCAAACTCATTTTCACCGGGGGCCACACCAGCCTCACAGCTCCCTTCAAAGGGCCAAATGTAATTTTAGGAATGTATAAATGCAACTACTCCTGAACTAGGGGCAAGGAACTAGGTGCCACTGCCAGGTAGAAACAAGGTATCAGACCAGATAAAACAAGGTGGAGGGCCAGGTTTGGCCCATGGGCCTTGTGTTTGCTGCATGTGCTTTACAAGATGGTCTCCCAAATATTTTTAGTACACACCTGACACCACAGTTATTACAATATTATTGACTGCATTCCCTATGCTGTACTTTAAGTGTATTTTATTGATTATGCTATTACAATTTTCCCAAATTTTCCCCATTTGTCCCCCTCTGCCCTACACCCCCAACCCTTCAGCATTCCCCCAACCCTAGTTCATGTCCATGGGTTGTATATATAAGTTCTTTGAGTTCTCTGTTTCCTATACCATTATTGATCTCTCTCTATTTTATGCCTACCAATTATGCTTCTTCTTCCCTGTACTTTCCCCCACTACTCCTCCCTTCCCTCTCCCCACTGAAATCCTACCATATGATGCCCATTTCTCTGATTCAGTTCCTGTTCTAGTTGTTTGTTTAATTTTTGTTTTTGTTTATCTTTTAGGTTCATTTGTTGATAGTTGTGAGTTTGTTGTCATTTTACTGTTCATAGTTTTTATCTTCTTTTTCTTAGATCAATCCCTTTAACGTTTCATATAATAATGGCTTGGTGATGATGAACTTCTTTAATTTTACCTTATCTGGGAAGCACTTTATTTGCCCTTCCATTCTAAATGAAAGCTTTGCTAGATAGAGTAATATCGGATGTAGGTCCTTGCCTTTAATGACTATGAATACTTTTCCCAGTCCCTTCTTGCCTGCAAGGTTTGTTTTGAGAAATCAGCTGATAGTCTTATGGGAACTCCTTTGTAGGTAACTGTGTCCTTTCCTCTTGCTGCTTTTAAGATTTTCTCTTTATTTTTTTAATCTTGGGGAACTTAATGGTGATGGGCCTTGGTGTGTTCCTTTTTGGGTCCAACTTTTTTGGGATTCTCTGGGCTTCCTGGAAGTCTATTTCCTTTGCCAGATTGGGGAAATTTTCCTTCATTGTTTCTTTGAATAAGTTTTTAATTTCTTGCTCTTGTTCTTCTCCTTCTGGGACCCCTATAATTCAGATATTGAAATGTTTCAGGTTGTCCCAGAGGTTCCTAAGTCTTTCTTCACTTTTTTAAATTCTTGTTTCTAAATTCTGTTCCACTTGGATGTTTATTTCTTCCTTTTGTTCCAAATCTTTGCTTTGAGTCCTGGTTTCTTTCCTGTCACTGTCGGTTCCCTGAATATTTTGCTTTATTTCATTTTGGGTATCTTTCATTTGTTTTTTTTTTATTTTTTCAACAAAGTTCAATCAGTCCTGTGAGCATTTTGTTACCAGGGCTTTAAATTCTCCATCAGATAGGCTGGCTATCTTCTCATCACTTTCTGAAGTTTTGCTCTGTTCTTTCATTTGGGCCATATTTCTTTGTCTCAGCACACCTATTAAGTTGTAAGGCCATGGGGCCTTAGGTATTCACTTAGGCAGTTGCAACACTCCTTGCTGCACTGTGGTGCTGCCTGTGGGGGACGGGCTATGGAGGGGAAAATGAAGCTCACCTGCTTGGCTCTAGCCTACTTTCCAATGAAATAGTGTGAGACTGGGAGTTTCTCCCATGGTGGCAGCCACAGTAGTCCAGAATCATCTCTGAGTCTCAGTTTCCCCTTCAGCCAGCCTGGCCAATGCGGTCCACCACCTCACCACGGTTTCTCTCAGCCAGCCCTGCCCACACAATCCACTGCCTTGCCACAGGTTCTTACCAGTATGGTTGCTCTGGTTGACTATTTAATTCCTTGGTTGTCAGAGTTCCACACAGTTTGATTTTCTGGCACTTCTAGTTGTTCATTGACTTTAGATTGGTTGTTATCCTCCTCTTGGTTGTGCAAGGAAACAAAGGTTTTCTACCTATGCCTCCATCTTGGCCAGAACTCTTACACATCAATTTAAAAAACAGAAAAGCTCAAGATGGTGGCAAGATAAGTAGGAATGGAGTCTACTTCCTCCTTCACATGGGTGAAACACCTAGCCAATCTACTGAGGAACAGAGCAAATAGACAACAGTACCCCAGCATATATGAAGATTGGAGACCAAAAATGGTAGAGGACATTGAAAAATCAAATGTGAAACAATAAAACCTGGAATGGTAAAAAGACCACAGTTCAACCCAAAGAGGGGGCACCACAACAGTTGAGAGAGTGTGACAAATATCACCTTCCTGCTCCATAGAATGTGCAAGACTAGGTGGACGCTGTAAACAGCAAGATACCTACTGGAAGAGGAAACCCACCAACAAAGGAACCACCAACAAATAACAACAGAAGAAGGTGAAGGAGGAAATAGAAGCCACACTAACTCAACCCAGGACTGACCTGGAAATACAACTAAATAGTGGAGAAATTACCCACGACAAACAACTGAACAAGAGCAAGAGAGAAGTCTCAAAACCTCATACACACAGAAGAACCAGCTTCAACACAACCTGTTCACACCTGCACAACAGAATACAAGATGTGGTAGATGGAGTGACCCTCAGTTAACCAGCTGGTGGGAAGGACACACCAAAGAAACACCCAACAACAATCAAAACCCAAAGACATACAAAGACCCAATACAAATGACAGCCCAAGACCAGTGAACTCAGGAGATCAAGGAGTCTGCACCACTGAATCTCACAGGTATTCTACCACAGAGGTTCACACCATAAACCCAGGGAGTCAGAACACATCAATTTAAGAAGCAGAGGC